TCTGTAACTTTATTTCCAAGTTAGTTCTTGGAACACAGGTTGCCAAGGTACACAGCTTGTTTGGTGAATCTTCATCCTCATTCTGTTTCCTGGACAACCGTACCTGGATACCATATGGAACATCCCTTATTCCTTTGGCCCAGACAGCTTTGTTGAGCCTGGTGTCAATGCGCATGTCTGGAGCCCCCATTTCCTTCATGGAAAACTTCCGGATCTCCTTAATGCCTGAGGAGCGCGCTTCTTGAAGCTCACTGTGGATGCGCTTGTGAATGCTGACTGTGTGTTCTCGGGGCACCACCTCGTGGATGACGGAGCGGCCCTTCTTCTTCTCGCTACCTTCTTTGCGGGAGCCATTCTGCCGGGCCCCAGGCAGAAAGCAGTAAAGATATTTTGGACACAGTTATTCATTTTTGTGAGTCTAATTTAAAAAAAAGATCATTTATTTTTTATTAGGACATATTTGCCATACATAGGGATCACATTTGTCTTAAGGGATCTATCTATATCTATACATAATATATCTTAATTCCCTTTTTTTCTCATTATCCTCCCCTGCCTTCAACCCCTACCCTCCCCATTTTTAAAAGCTTTGTTTCTGATAGGTCAGGATTCAAACTTTCCCAGGCACCTTGCCCCAAATACTCTCCCTCTTGGTTTCCCAGGCACCCCGCCCCCAAACTCTCTCCCCCTTGGCCCCACGCAGAGCCAAAGGCAGCACGGCAGAGCAAGCCACCATGAAACTCTCCTTTGTTAATGTTAAAGGTCCCCCACAGACCAGGTAGCCCTGCCAAGATCAGCTCTCCCTAAAAGATCCCAGAAAGTCTCCTGCCTCCCCTTTATTCACTGCTGTGTTGGTCCGCTAAACAGCCAGCCTGCTTGATGCCCCCAATAAATCTCTACCCATGTCAGAATGCCTGGTCTGGTTGATTGTGTGGGTTCTCACCTAATAGTTTCCGTTTTTTCCTTCCATTATATTTGGAAGTCCCTTTTTCCTTCCTTCCCTTCTCTCTTTCTCCTCCCTTGTTCCCTTTCTCTTTTTGCGTGTTCTTCCTACTTCCCAATAGATATCCTCTAGTATGATCCTTACTTCCTCACTGGTTTTCTGCCACAAGAGAAACAATGTGGCATTTAAATTTGGGTGTCTGATATAGTTATGATGATAGCTATTATTTCCAGAATGAAATAGAATCTCAGTGTTTTTGTTTTTCTTTGTATTTTAGGGAAGGGTCTACAGGGTGTTCAGGGTCTCAGTACTAGATCAGACTCACAGTGATCTGCCTGTTTATAGCCTCCCAAGAGCTGGGATTACAGTCGCATCACCACGCTCAGTCTCAATTGCTGTCTCAGCACGCCCCAGGGGCAGGCCAGCACTGCAGGCCTGGGAATCAACCACCTGGCCCACTGCACCTGCTTGCTCATACTTTATTTTAATTAATTAATTAATTAATTAATTAATTTTTTCAGGAAGGGAAAGGATTTATTAGACATCTCCAGGACGAGGCCCCAGGGGCAGTGGCTGGGCTCAGAGTTCTCACACCCAGGAAGAAAAGGCAGCAGTGAAGACCACCTGCCTGCCTTAGATCAAAGCAGCCTTGTGCTCACAGAAACTGTCTCTGCCGGCAGGGAGGACGTGGGCCTGGACGCACACCCGGAGGGTGGGAATGGCTTCCTTACCTCCATCAGTCTGTTCTCACGGGGCCGAAGTTGGGAGTAAAGGGAGCAGGGGCTGGGCCTGGCTGCTCCTGCCCATGACACTTCCAGGTGATTTTATTTATAAACAAGACAGAAATCAAAGCAGCATTAATTTAGGGGATCAAAACAGTTAAAAAAAAAAAAAGACAGAGGGGCAGGAAGGAGTCAGTAAGCATCCAGGAGAGAGAAGTAGGGCAGCCAGTGTGTACCCAGCGTGGATCTGTGGCGGTGGGTCAGTGATGGAGGGCCTTCTTCCTGCTCCCTGGCTGGCCATGGGCAGCAGAGGAGCCGTAGTGACTACAGCGCGCCCTGGGGCCCTGTCTGGCCACTGGTTTAGGGAGTATTGTGGATTTGCCCCAGCCTACTTGCCACCTTCACCATTGCCTAAGTGCAGCAGCTTTTAACTCTCCTGTCCAAAGTCCTCTGAGAATTTCTTCACTTTCAGGAGGTCCTCTGCATTCACTGTGGGCCGGGTGGTAGGCAAAGACCGGAGCATGTCAGACTGCGAACCACAGGCTCTAAGAGTTTATCACCAGGGACGTCCATCCAGGTCATCTCCATGGCCCCTGGGCCCCCTGGCGAGCATGGAGTCAGGAGGTCATCAATCATAACGCTAGGGTTGGTGCGGGAAGGGCCACAGACCTTCTTAAAGTGCGTTGCTGACTGGACTTTTCTGACGGGCTGCATGAGAGAGTCCCGCACAATGATGCTGATGTCTGCACCCGAGTAGCCTTCTGTCTTCCGGGCCGGCTCGTGGATGTTGGCATCTGTGAGGTTGTGTGGAGTGCTCCCCAGATGCAACCGGAACATCTGGGCGCGGGCGGCTTCCTCAGGCAATGGGATATAAATGCGCTTTTCAAACCTCCTCCTAATGGCAGAGTCCAGCACCCAGGGGATGTTTGTGGTACCAAGAACGAGAGTCCCATCGTTGTTGTTCCCCACTCCTTGCTTCTGCACCAGGAACTCTGTTTTGATCCTCCGGGTAGCCTCGCTCTCGTTCTCATTCTGGGACCCACAGAGGGAGTCTACCTCATCAATGAAGATGATGGAGGGCTTGTGCTGCCTGGCCAACTCGAAGAGGTTCTTCACGAGCTTCTCACTCTCCCCCAACCACTTAGACATCAGATCAGAGGAGGACACAGAGAAGAAGGTAGAGTTGTTGGCCTCTGTTGCCACAGCTTTGGCCAGATAGGATTTCCCTGTGCCAGGGGGTCCGAAGAGCAGTATCCCTCGCCAAGGGGTACGCTTGCCTGTGAACAAGTGTGGGAATTTGATTGGCAAAATGACAGCTTCTTTGAGGGCCTCGTTGGCCCCCTCCAGCCCCGCCACGTCATTCCACCGTATGTTGGGCTTCTCCATCACAACAGCACCCATTAGTTGCTCCTGCAGCTTCTTCTTCTCTGGATTATCCCCTTCGCTGTCACTGTCGCTGCCCTTGCCCTCGCTTGGATTCTCCTTCACTGGCTTTTTGCCGTGTTTCTCTTTGTTTTTTAAGTAATCCTTCAGCTTCTCTGCCCGGTCTAGGTACTGCACGCACTTGGCTCGAACGCTCTCCTTGGCCTTGTCACTGTGAGCCTCATACTTGATGGTGTGCAGGAAGTATTCCACAGCATGCTGGTACAGCCGCAGTGCCTCCTCATAGTTCTTGGCTTTGTCCTCCTCCGTGGCTTTAGTCACCAGATCAATGGCTTTCTGGAGGGTTGACGTTGTCATTTCATCTCCTGGGTCCGCTCCACACCCAGCGGCGCTGCTGGCGGCCTTGGTCCGGCCCGGGGGGAGCCGAACTGCTGGGTCCTGCACAGGAGCCCGGCGGGTCGGTGCTGTTGCTCATACTTTAATCCGCTGAGCTATATGGCCGACCCTCACTATTGTTTTAATTAGCATCTCTCTAATGACCAATGATTTTTTATATTTTTTCATATATTTATTTGCAATTCATACTTTATCTTAGAAATGCATAGTCATCTCAGATCCCCATTGTTTTGGTTGAGCTTTAAATTTGGAGAGGGTCTGATTTTTTGAGTTCTTTATGTACTCTGGATAGTACTTATTTGTCTGAGGAACAACTGGCAATTTTTCCCCTCATTGTGGGTTGTCTCTTCACTCTGTTGGTGGTTTCTTTTGCTTTTAAAAAGCTTTTTAATTTGCTCTGATCTCAGTTCTCATTCTTCATAACAGTCATATGCTGCTGGGGTTTGTTCATTAAGTCTTTGCCTAAACTGATGTTTTCAAGAGTTGCACCTATTCTGTCTTCCAGCAGACTGTTTTCATTTTGATCTACTTTGATTTTAGTTTAACACACGGTGACATATACAAGTCTAGGTTCAATATTCAGGCCCTGGAATGCCAGGCTTCCCTGCACCATTTGTTAAAGAGGTTTGCTTTATTCCAGTGAGTAATCAATCAAGTCCAAATTGATTATACATCTTCTATTCTCTTCCAATGATTCTTGGGTGTGCTTCTTTGTGTTTTTGCCAGTGCCATGCTGTTTGTGTCACTGTAGCTTTGCAATGTAACTTCAAATTGGGGATTGTGGTGCTATGGCCTCCCTTTGTTGCCGGGAATTGCTTTTGCTATTTTTGATCTCTGTTGATTCCATATGAATTTTAAGATTTCTTTCTCTAGTTCTGTAGGATATGCTACAGATATTTTCATTGGGATTGCATTAAATCTGTATAATAATTTTGGACACAGGGCCATTTTCACTATATTGGTTTTACTTATCCAAGAACAGGAGATATCTTTTCATATTCATATATCCTCTTCAATCTCCTTTTTCAGAGTATTATAGTTTTTAATGTAAAGATCTTTCACTTCCTTCATTAGATGTATTCCATAGAATTGCATTTTTTTTCTTGATGCTATTATGAAAGGCATTATTTCCCTAATTTCTCTTTCAGTTACTTTGTTGTTAGTGTACAGGATTGATATTAATTTTTTAGAACTGACTTTGTATTCTGCTATGCTAATTTGGTTATTAGTTGAGGAGTATTTTGGAGGGGTATTTGGGGTCTTCTAGGGAGAGTTCTGTGTCATCTGTCATCTGCAAATAATGACAAGTTCATGTCTTCATTTCCTGTCTTTATCTCTTTTCCTTCTTTCTCTTGTCCAGTTGCTCCTGCTAATGTTTCCAGAACTGTGCGGAACAACAGCAGTGGCGGTGGGCATCCTGGTCTCGTTCCTGGGGTCACAGAGCAGACTTTCCATTTCTGACCATTTAGCGTAATGTTGGCTGATGGTCTGCCATAGATGTTTTTTTTTTTTTTAATCAGATCTAGATGAAGACCTTCTATTTCAATTTTCATTAGGGTTTTTATTATGAATGGGCGTTGTACTTTGTCAAATGCTTATTATGTGCTTCTTGAGATGATTATGTGGTTTTTGTCCATGTTTCTGTTCATGTGGTGTGTTACACTTATTGATTTGCGTGTGTTGAACCATCTCTGCATCCCTGTTGATGAGTCCTACTTGGTCATGATGTTTAATGCTGCCATGATTTCCTGCATTCTTTTTGCCAGTATTTCATTGAGCATTTCTGCATCTATGTTCATTAAGGAGACTGAATGAGTTCTCTTTTTTCATTGAATATGTCTCTGGTTTTGGTAGCAAATGATGCTTGCTTCTAAGAATGAGTTTGGCAGTACTACTTCCCTTTCAATTTCATTAAGGAGCTTGAGGAATATTACAATATTTTTCTCTAAAGTTCTTGTAGAATTCAGCAATGAACTCAGCAAGGTCAGGACCTGGGTTTTTCTTGACAGTTTTTTTCCAATTTCATTTACTAATATTAGATATTTAGAATTTTTGCACTTTCTTGAATCATCTGGAGTCATTCATGGGTAACTATGTTTTCATTTCCTTTTAGAAAGACATATTTATGGACAAATAGCACATTAAGGACATGTGCGTGTCCCTTGGCACACTGAAGACATGATTCCACCGTCTTCTGATTTCCCTTTGCCACTTGCTATTCTTTTTTAGATTGTCTTTTCTCAGTGATTTTAAAAGTACTTTTTGACCACTAATTCTAAATAGCTTCACAGTGGTATTTCTAAGCAGATTTTATTTTTATTGTACTTAAGTTATAATTGTTTTTGCATTACAAGTATTAAAGTCAGTTATCACTGTAAAGTTTTCACAGTTACTATCTTTTTAAAAAATTCTCTTATCATTTTAATATATAGGCTGTCAGGCTCTCAGGGATGTTGGATGCTTCTTGTGTCCTTAGGTGCAATTCTGCTTTTTTACTTAGTTACTATCTTTCCAAATGTTATACGTCCCTGTCTCTTCCTTCATTCTTCCTGGCCCTTAGTAGACAAACATGAAACACGTTCACTCTGTCTTCTATGTCTTTCAGCCTTCTTTTGCTCTTCTTGCTTCATCATGATTCTACGCTGCATTATAGAGTGTGTATTCACATGCAGCTTGCATTTTTAGCAAGCAGCCCTCCTGCTTTAAAAATTTTTCTATTGGTACCATCCATTGGAATCTTTATTTTAATAATTATATGCTAAAAACTGAGACTTCCTTATGTCAAATGTTTTGGCATTTTAGTAGTTTTTTTGGTTCATTTTATCAGTGTTCTATTTAATTCCATTAAATATGAATACCTTATAATCTTTCTGGTATATTTGAATATAAAATTGGTGATGACATCTTTACTAGTTTTTGCTTGTCATGCCTATTTTCCTTGAGAGGTGTATGTGTGTGTGTGTGTCTGTTACTGGACATTGAGTCTAAGACCTCAGGAAGGCTAAGCATGTGATTTACTGCTGAATTTTACCCTCAGCCCAATATTTTTAAAAAATTATTTTGGCTTTGAAATGAGATTTTGTGGAAGTGCATCTGTGGTGATCCTTTAAGGACTATAGTATAAATTTACTTTCATTGGTTATCTGTCTGAGCTTTAAATTTCAAATTGAGCTTACACCTTGATGTCTTTCAGATTAGACCTCCCAGGTGGTATGAATCCATGCTGTCTTTGCATG